TTGAATCTAAAGAGGAAAGCAACACTTGGGTTGAAATTACTGCTGGAGCTCAGCGGCTGTTCGCCACTTCTGAATAATTCAGAGCGCTAATGTCTGTAATGAGACCGTTTCTGCCATTAACTTCTCATTAAACCAAAGCATTTTTCTTCCATTATTGTTCTCCAGTCTGACTGGCATTTACCTTCATCCTTCATTTCGTAAGACATTCCTCTAACCTTTGTAAAGAAAAAACTATAAAGATAATGCCAACCAAGTCATCAAGCTATTGGGAGTTGTTTGTGGCAAAAGCTAAAAGTTTTTTTCTTTGTTTTGTTCTACTCTTTGTCTTTGACCTCCTGTGTACAGTTGCTCTTCTAGTGCCACCAGCCCGACGTGTTCCTTCCACTTAACGACAAACCGATGACAGTCATGATGTTGGCGCGCTTTCAACGGGAAGTGCTGCGAGCAGCCGTGTGTGTGTGTGCGATCAGACTTGTAACATTGCGGCAGATTTCAAAGCCTTTAGATTTAGGCTTTAAACTGAAATCCACTCTGCACGACAGAAAAACCGTGGCCGGCTCCTACTTCCTCTGTCCCGTCAGAGATCAGGAACCTGTTGGCTTTGATTTCCAGAGACCATGTTAACACGCCGAACCGCAGAGGCGCCGTTTGTTTTTGTCCGCTCACACACTGGCTCTGAAAGCAAGACGGTTAATACCGCAAACACGTCTTTTTAAATTGGCCTACGTTGCCTTTACTCCTGTTTATGGGGATTAAATGTAGCGGCGTTATATCCGTGAGTCGGTCATCCAATAATATCCAACGCTTAATAAACATCGGGTGTCTTTCTGACTCTCTGCTGAGTGTGCGTGTGTGTGCACATGTGAGTAATGTTTACAGTGTAAAGAAAAAAGGAAGTGAATTCTTACTGTAAGGAAGTTTAGATTCAACCTTTAGAGGAACAGGGACTTTGTCCGCTTTTTGTAAATGTCCTTTAAGTTTTCAAGCATTATGAAATCTCATGAAGGTGAAATTAACACTGGGTTTCACCACTTTCACCAGAATTTCTGAATTTCCCAAACTGATTCTGTAGCGAGACACTGGATGATTTATCTGATTAGAAAGTTATAAAATGCAGTAGACATTCCAAAAAAAGACAAATTGAATATGCTCTTTGGGCTGATCATTTAGATTATTTACGCTTGATTTTGTCTTGGCTCAGCGTTGTAAAACTGGTCACAAGGAACTCGTCTCTCAAGATTCTTAATGCAGGCGATGCAGAGAATGGCACAGAAAAAATAAATCTATTGATTTTATGGATATGTGTTGGATTTTTCAAATAGAATTTACAATTGGAACACATTTTTTTAACTCATCCCTAAATAAAGTAGGATGTTTTTTCCCTAACCTGTCAAACAGGAAATGGACCTTTAAGTTGTTGCACCACCGCCCTAAAAACTAATCTCTCTATGAGCCCTACAAATGCAAAGCCAAGACTGTATTTTTTTGTCATATTTAAGGGACGACGAAGATGCAATTTAAACCCCACAAAAATACCAAGAGTCGGGAACTTTGATATCTAAGCCAAAGTTCCCAAATGCAGATCCTTTTAGGGTTGAAAGACCTCTCTGGTTCTGCTTAGGGATCAGGGTTATAGTGAGGTTTAGTTTTCTAGGGTCATCAGATAAATAACTTGTTCAAATTGATATTACTCTGAATCAGAATTCATATAAATGACAACCATATAGATACAAAGATTAGTTGACTTGCTTTTGTTTATATAAAAGATTATTGTTATACAAGATTATTGTTGGATTCAGTGAATTGTTGTGTGGAGTCTGGTGCCTCAATTTCTCTCCAAACAGCTTTTATTTGGTAGCATTAGAAACACACAGTTGTGATGAGGCCACATGACTGTTTTTGGGCTTATTTCTTCATTTCAAATGCGCTCCGCGGTAGCTGCCAACTTTTTTTTTCCCTCTTTCTTTTTCTTGTCATCCACTTTCATTCTTTCTGACTTAGTTCTGGTCAATTTATTCACAGCAACATTTAGATCAGAGCTTTGATATTTGGTCCGTCGCCCGGGCCGCCCACTCGCTCGGCAAAAACTGTCTGAGTCTCAGACGGACGAGGAATGAGACGGACAAGATAAGCGGCAGGAGCTGAGAAGGGCGTCTCTGTATTTTAAGATCAGAAAAATGTAGGATTTAGTTCTGAAAGACGAACATTTACCGAAGACCAAAACGCCACGCTTAAGACAATCCAGACTGTTGTTCCAAGATGGTGGAATGAACTACCAAGCGCTAAAAGAAAAGCAGCGTCCCCTGTCTATCTTCAGAAAACTTTTAAAGACCCACCTCTTCAAAGAGCATCTCCTAAAAATGCTCTTTTTAGGAGATGCATGTCCAATACCTCTATACCCCCTCTACTACTATTTCTGTGCTTCCTTCTGTCTCTTTGCTGTCACCACTGACAGACTAGGGATTTTCCTCTAAAGAGCTTATTGTTAGATCATTGATAACTGTAACCATCTGCTAAATGCACAAACAAACATAAACATAAAATACCGTTAGAAACGTGATTAAAAGCCACCCTCTTAGCTCGCGTAATCCCCTGTACTTTGGACAAAACGGCCAGTTGATCCCAATGGGACCTTTGGTCTAAAAGGCAACAACAGCAAAAATCTGGTTCGTTTTCTCAAGTTGGTAAGGAGAACAAAGTTCATGCTGGCTCAGACATTTCGCGCTTGGCTGGGAAGTCCTCATAGGCCCCACCTACCAACATCAGGCTATTTCTTTCTTCTTTTTTTTGGATGAGGGAAGAGGAAGATTTTCAGTTTTTTTTTTTTGAGGAATTCGGGAAAACGGGTGAACATTTGTGGCATGTTCAACCACTCCATAAGGCCCAGGCTGGTTCAGTAGATGTATGAGATGGAGAACAAAAAATCCCTTCTAATTATTTTACCATGATTTTTTCTGATCTTTTTTTATTTTGAAGTTTAATTTGCCGAAAAACACCTTTGGTCTTGGAAAAATAATTAATTTATTGCAAATATCCGCTGTCCCTTTACTGGTAGATAATTGAATAATATTCCACTAAAGCTATAAAAAGTTTATAATCTCTCTTTGGGTGTTTCTTCTGTGTTTCAAAGACGACTTGTCGTTAATGAACAATTAAAGGAAAGAAGTTGTCTGGCACCTTGCCGGATATGATTGAATATCCCAGATATTCCAACATATCCCAGATATTCCAACATATCTCAGTTATTCCAACAGAGGAAAATGAACACTGCTCAGAAGAGCCCCCTTTTCCACTTTCCGGTACTGTTTTTATATTTTTTTCTCCTTTTATCTGTTTTTGGTTGAATGGTCATCCATTTTTTTTAAAACCGCATATTGCCAGGCCGGTCCCGAGGATGCTGAGACTTAGCCCAGCTGTGATTGGCCGAGAGGCAGGGTACACCATGGACGGGTCCCCAGTCGGTTTCGACTACTTCTCCATGTTTCACTCACTTTTCCTTTTCCTTTTTCTCTTTCCAACGTAAGGAGATCGTTTTAAATCCCGTTCCGGATCTGCTTTGTGGTATAAAACGGGCCGGCTTCTCAGTAAATAAAGCTCTGAAACATTTGCCTCCCGGCACTCTGAAACGTCAGCCTTTCTAAGCCCCTCAAAGAGATGAGCTTCCAGAAAATGTAGATGAGTGCTGAGAGCAGTAGACCCTGACCCCCTCCACAAACGCACACACACAAACACGCACGCGCACAACTTTCTCTTGATGCCGCAGCGCTGGAGCTTCAGAGGCGATAACAGCCCCTCGCTCTCCTCGCTTGGCTCCTCTCAAAACAGATATTTCCTGTGCCGATGCAGCACCCCGATACCGCCGAAAGATGACAGGACGGCTCGACTTTGTTTTTTCTTCTGCCCGTTGCTCTTTTTTGCTCTCACCGGGCGCGCCCGGCCTTCCTTCCCCTTTCGCGATACGCCACATCAAAAAAACGATCCCTTCACGGTACATCACGCCCCCCTTTTCATAATGAAGTTCTAATGGAAACTGTTTATCATCAAACTGTCATCTGACAGCTTGTGTTGCTTGAAAGAAAACATCTGTTTTTTGGGGTTTTTTTGTGAATGAAGTCATTGGCTGCCAAAGACGTCTATAGACTTCAATTCAAATGCAACCATTGACTGCCAAAGACGTCTATAGACGTCTTTTATGTTTTTCAACGAGAGTGGCTGGGGGACGATCTGCTAAAGCTTGTCCGTAAATATCAGGCTTTTAGACAGAGTATGTACTAACAAATTGACCCTCTAGGTGGCAGTGCCACTTTTGATGGGAGATGAGGCAAATAAGAAAAAGGTAACGGTTCGCTATGAGAGAACATGTCGCCGGTGAGACGCAAGTTGAGGAAAAACGGAATAAGGTAGAAACAATTTTTGTTTTCCTGATGAAAGTAGAGAGTCTACTCTTTCTTTTGGTGTGTTTGTTGTTTACATAGTCATAGCACAAACTATTCTGGGGCTCTTGAAAAATCAGTCAAAATGCTCAAAAAACTCTGGCAGTATGGGACTCTGTTCTGAAAATGGCTGGCAGTCAATGAGTTAAAGGTGTGATCTGCTCAGTGAAGCTTCCCTCTCGCTGAAAATGAGCAGATTGTCCATATTAATTTTGCAAAAAACACTAAATTGTGAGGAAAGGGCCATTCTCTGGGTCCCCTCTGTCTCCCTCTGTGTGCGGTGGACTGAATGGAGCTCTGTTGTTGTGTATGGGAGGGGGAATGCTGCGAGTGGGAACGACTCGAAGTCAGATTTCTCTCCACTCCGTCCCGGCAGGCGACTCCCGCAACAGACAGCGGCATTGTGACGGCAGCGTCTCTGATCTCACTTCTCCATGGCCCCCGCACTCATGTTCCCCTCCCTTTGTGCGGCTGCAGAGCAGTGTGTGTGTGGCGACGGCCGACGGGGGACGACGGTAGATCAGGTTGCGTTTTTTTGATGTGCTGCTCCCGTCTGAACTGTGACCGATGCGGACCAAGGCTCGCCTGGAGGATCCAGGGGATGGCTTGAAAAGAGGTAAAAGATGAAAAAAAGAGTCTGTCCAGGTGGCGTGGTGTCAGTTCAGTTTGCGTTCAGAAAAAACGGGTCAATTTGTCTCTAGTTCTGCATGGATTTGATGGATTTCTCAAGTACAAATCTGGTAAATGTGGTATAAGTACTATCTTCAATCACTTAGGTGGATCTAAGGCAAGAAAAACTGGTCTTTTACCTTTGTGGTTCAGTTCTTATACAATGTGAAGTCAACATTTAGTGTGTTGTGTGTATTCCTCCACATAGACAAGCTGTGCAGTTGGTCTTTAACTAGTCTTCAGAGATAGTTTCCCAGTCATCTTGTTGGACATCTCAAAAGTTTCTCAGCACCGTGGCTTTCTTTTTTTTTTCCGTTCCCTGTTCTCCATCTAAATGATGTCACAATGCTCCAGCGATTCTTCAGCTGCTGTGCTCACAGCACACAAAATGATGTCACCCGCTAGCGCTGACACCAGCTCAGACCAAACACAAACGACAAACTGTTGCGTGCTCGCGCTTTGCTTCTAAATATAAAGCCCTCATGACAGAATGCTAACACCGTGTGCTAATAACAGATTGTGGCACACCGTGACATTTTTTTTATCTCACTCCACACAATAGAACCAAAGGCACTTTCAGGGCTTTCTTTCTTTTTCAAGAGGTTCTGAAGCATAAAGAAATATCTTAAACCATTTTGAGCTTTTATTTTATTTGAAATTCAGTGTCCATAGAAGCTTCTGTGGTGTGTGATTCTTCTAATGCTGGTCTAATGGTTGGGTAAAGGTCGGAATATAACCAGCTGAAGTGGTATGAACTTATTCTTGAGCCACAGCAATGTGTAATGCCCCGGTGTGACGGGCAGCTGGCTCATGAGTTGTGTCGTTGGGGAGATGGTAGATGGTTTTGTCCATGTATGGAGCATTGCATCACTTTGTGGTGTGAACATCCTAGTTTTCAAATAAGGGTGTGACATGCTGCTGTCCTGGTTTAATTAAAACTGCACGTCAACAACGGAGATCCACACTGTCACAGCCTCGCACTCCGTATTTTAAATTTTTTTTTTTTCAATTAGAACAACCGTTTAGATTTTTGCTGGGGTTTTCTTTCTTTTCTTAATCTCTGAACAGCAGGGAAGACTCGAAATGTCGGTGCAAGTTTACATGAACTTTTTCTTCGCACACCAAACGACGCAGCCCAATTTATGTTGTCAAAAGCGTCTTTTCTTCATTCGTAGCGTGGCTCCATACCAGTTCCTTCTGTAAGAGAGTGGGTTTATTACAAAAAATGTTTTAAAATCAAAATTGACCACACGCTTTGTCCGGCTGGAAAGAAATGACAAACAGGCAATACAAAGGCACAAAAACCATTCATGCTCTAAAACGATGAATCTACAGAAGCCAGGAATTCATGATTCATGCATGATGCATATGATTCGAAAGGACATTTTCTCTAAGAAAGAAAATGAATATAGCTGTAACGGTAAATGCACTGAATCATCCCTAAGTGGCTTAAACGTTGAATATACCGATGTGTTGCACCTGCTCTCGATCGGTCAAGAGAAAAACAGCACTATTACACGATTGATTTGTCAAAAGTAGGGCTCAGAAATGGCCTTTCCATTCCTGCCTACGCTCACGTCCTTTAAAAACCTAAAGACGCGCCACAGTATGTCTGAAAGCTTCAACCTAGTGAGGGTTGTATCTATGGATTTGTATGTATAAACATAACTTACATCACATGGGAGCTCGGTTTTGAACCAAGCAGAACAACAAAAGACTGGAAATGAGTTCTTCTCCCATTAACCCCCTACTTTGCTGTCGTAATTATTCCTCCCTCTGTGCAGATTGTGTGCATAAGAGGGCAAGAGATGCACAAATAATTGCCAGAGAGGAGCATGGAGTTGTAAGCCGAGACAACTCCTCAACATCAAAAGCAAGGCGGGCTCATTACAGTAGCCGAAAAAGAAGAAGCAAGGAAGACCGTTATTTGTCTGGTTGCGGCCTCGTTGTCAGTGCTGGCCCGTGGCGACGTTGATAATAACGAACAAACGCATAAAAAGAGTCCCGCAGTACTTCCGGCCTGCCCTGTAATGATCATCGGCATATCCATTGTCTTTTTTATTTGCTTGACAAGACTAAAAACAAGCTCTCCGCAGGCCATTCCCTTTCACATCCACGTCAAAATTAAAGCACCATCTGTTTCAATGTTTAATGTGAGTGCTTTAGTTTCTTCTGCTGGCAAGCAGGCCGACGAGATCTTGGAAATCACATCTTGTTTTAGGGTTGTTGTTTTTTTTTAAAAGCACACGCTCTCGCCATAGGAACGCCTAACTTCCTGAATTCTCTGCGATGCTCTCAGCCGCCGTGCATGAAAGCATCCATCTCTTCCCGTGCAATGCGAAAGCCACGACACTTAAGAGGTGTATTCCTAGTGGGGGGGCTGGGCAGCTGTTCAGCCGGTCGCGGAAGGGTGACGGACAGGGGACATTTTAGTCACAGCAAGACAGGGGACAGTTAGCAGGGGCCGACATCGGCCTCTCCACTGGGGACTGACAGGGCAGCTCTGGGAGGAGGTGCTGGAAGGTCAGCTCAGTGGGGGGGGGTTCCAGTCTCTAATGAAGGATGAGCAGAATGGCAAGAAAGTAGTTGGCTTTTCAAAGTTCAGATCCTTTCACGTGTCGAGGTTTTGTCGGTTAATTCCAAAGTCTTTCTGCTTATTTTAGCTATACGGCTATACAATGATACAACTTTATTTGAATGTAGGATTGCTTTAGACTGCAAATGAATTTTACAATTACAATTGTAAAAGGAGGTAGGAGTTCTCTAGGAATGCCTCAGTTTCTTCTAAAGAATGCTACAGCTGAAACATCTCAGCTCTTTCTTTCACTCCCTTAAAAAACTGGATTAAAGGAAGCCTCATTATCATTTAGATATTTGACTTAAGGAGTGAAGAAAGTGATTACCTTTTGCATATCAAACCCTGTAAACATGTCTGTAGGACAGTAGTTTTATCCAAATTGTTGTGTCCCCCTACATGACCACATTAGCAACAAAACTAAACTGTTTTAGTTTGAGAACTCTTAGATTTAAAAATGTATGAGAGTATTCTTCCATCACGGTTTCAATCGGCCACATCTGCGTTTTAACAAGTACCGACTGAACTCAGTGACTCTTCTAGTGCTTTTGGGTTTTATTTGCATTGACATTACATGCATTTGCCTCTAAACGTTTACATTTTTTAGCACCTATTTGGCCAAAGTTGGGCCGATGGCAGTATGAATGTGTCATGAAAGTCTTTTCTTCAAGAGAAACCTAATTAATCTAAAAAAAGGTTGACACAACAAATGTTCAATTCAATATTTATTTTTGATCATCAACATTGTGAATTGCTACTAAAAGCAACACATCGTTTATGCGATTTCCTCCATTTTAGCCTTGTACACACAAATGACATCACAGTCCATTTGGACTGTCTTTCTGTCTGGACCTCGCTCCTAAGGAAATACCATGCTGCCCATCCCACTGACATTGTACATCTAAATATATAGATCTGACTTAAACTTGACTTGATCATAAACTGACATGAGATATTCAATATACATGCCCTTTTTCTGGAGACACGTTCACTGTCATTTATGTCTTGAGCCATGCTCATTTTTGTCGCTCACTATTTCTCAAGATTGCCAGAGAATCCCGGAAAGGGGTTAAATGAACAAATGCGTCACGAGGTCAGTCCCCACCATCCATTACTCTTCAAGTTGATCTCATAACAAAAACTCTGAACATGGAGAAAGACCGGGTTACCAATCTGCAGAGTAAGTAGAAGATCGCTATAAAACTGTCCAGCTACTGGACTAGTATTAGTCTAGCAGTAGTTTTAACCTCTTGCATGTAGGATAGAAGATTCCTCTTTGGTTGCACTTGCAATTGACTTATTTTAAAGCCTCACAGTAAATATACATTTGAAAAAAATCCAAGACATTCTCACTACAGTTCTCATATGAGGGGCTATAAACATTTGTAGATGTGCACAAGTTCACCAAGAGCTCCCCGTCCGAAAATAAAACTCTAACTCGGTCACAGACGCTAAAGTGATCCCTGGAGCATGCATATGCCTCTAATTGCATTTAGCTTAAGCTTGGCCTCTGTGGAATACTAATGTGTCTGTAAAGGACTGAGAATTGAGGCTTGGCTTCATTGCCAAGAAGAAAAGGAAAAAAAAAACGGAATCCCATGTCCTTTCCAGTTGCCCTCTCCTCGTTATGGGAACCACAGGGCCTCCTGGGGTGGAATTCCCAGCAGAAAAGGAGCATTACAGTATTTGTTTATTTGCCCCCAGACGGCTTTTTAGTCCCGCTGTGTGTGCTCTTGGCAGCCCACAGCGACATGCCGTTCGCGGACAACACCACCATCCTGTCATAAAAATGCCAGCCAAGCTCAATGAGGAGCATGTTTGTTCGGAGCCTTTCGGAATTCCAACGAAGCCTTTCCTCCCGTTGAACCCCAGAGACCTAAAGAGGAAGTCGAAGAATGACTAGAGTCAAATAAACGGCTGCAAGAGTGCTCCAAGGGAAGCGGTTTTAGAGCTGCTTGGGAGTTAATAGATTTGAGCTTGTCTTCAGTTGTCTTATTCATGTTTATATTTACAATTTTACTGAGCATATTTGAAATTTCTTTCTGCATCGTCTCGTCAGATCATTCCCCATTTCGATTATTTTGGGGTTAAATAATCATCGTTCATTGAATCATTCCTTTTTGTTTGGGGAATGGGTAATTATTTAATGTTCAATACATTCAAAGATTACAGTTGAATGCTAAATGTTTGCTAATTTGATTTTTGTTTTGCCTTCTCACTTTGGTTCGCCTCTATCTGTCGCCAGTGAACGCTGTTGGCAAACCTCATGAAAATCCAGAGAGACTGACTAAATCTTTCCATCGACATTCCTTCGACATCTCTATTTCAAAAGCAATGGCAGAAAATTTGTTGGTGCATATCAGAAGCCATACTGTTGTTACTTCTCTAGTTTTATTCAAGTCCCAGCCCTGGACTGTCAACATTCCTCTCTGTGGAAAGTTACCAAAAAGGCATACATTCTAAATTATTTTTACCATGATTATGATCAATCGCACAACATCAGATATAAAAACTACAGACTGGTACATCTCAAAGTTTGTCATATCATGGGTAGAATGGACTGTTTTACAAACTTGGAAACTGGAAAATGATCAGACAAATCTGAATTAGTCAGCTTGTTTCCAACATATCACCAAAAATCCTACATGCATTTTGTATAGGTGTTATAACAAGCCTCATTTTCATTAACTTTTTCCATATTTTCACTTAAAAACAGCTGAATTATTTAATATTTTGACCATTCTTTGGATCAGAGGCACATAAAATTATGTATTAAATATGGATGGTTTAGTTAGGCAAATTCATTTCAAACCAGTTAAATTTTGACTAGCAGTATGAAGGAACTGTCCGTGTCATTCTCAGACAAATAAAACTAACATTTTGACATTCTGAATTCTAAAAATGGGTAAAGGTTACCCTAAAAGACCACATGAGGATTAACCTATTTGTTATGGAGTATAATTAGAAAAACAAAAAAAGGCTAAACAAAAATCTTATAGATCTAATTCTGTGCATTTACATTATAAAAGATTTCACAGCAACGAGAAGTCAGTAAAATCCATAATATCTAAGCACCACGTTTAAAAAAATGTCTTCCTCCTCGCAGGTGTGTAGCGGTGAGGTGTGTGGCGGTTGTTCTGGCTCCGTGCCGACTGCCTCTCTTCGCTTTATTGTGTGATTTATTACATGCCTCCATTACTACGTGCTGCGGACCGGATTCAACATAAACACAACAAGACCTCTTCATGGTGTGCGGCCTGTGTGTGTGTGTGTGTGTGAGCCTCTCGCAGTTGGCCGAATCAGGATGTGTGTGTGTGTAAACTGTTGTGACTGATTTACAATCCAGAGGGATACAGAGAAGTGAGAGGTGTTGTCAGTACAAAGAAACGACCATAAACACGTTCACTCTCACACACAGTCCGAGCAAACTCCAAGAAGCTCTCAGACACCTCCTTCGTCAAAGTTTTAGGGAGATCCTCTTCAAGTATCCTGAAGTTTTTTTTGTCCACCCTTTGAGGGGTTGCATGCTTTTGGCACACTCCTGGAGAATTGGAATAGCACAAATCCTGCCCGTGATGACAGTCGTAACACACCCGGGACTCTCACAGGATCCACCGTCAGGCATTTCAACGCCAAACTCCCAACGCCAAACGGAGAAAAAAATTCACCAGGATGATAACGCTGGGCTGGAATGACATTTCTCTTTTCCGTCTGTTTGTCGGAAAGTGGGTGGAGCATTGTTATTTTAGTCAGCTCGGGTCAAGAGGGTGCACTTTATAGCCACGTTAGCATAATCCCTCAAAAGAGGAGTCCGTTGAAAATCCTTTGTAAATTATAGCAGTTTCCACGCGTCAAACTCCAGAAGTACCAAACATTGGATGTTGGGATATTTAGCTAACTTGGACAGTGATACGCTTTAGTTTTTGTCCTTATCATCACATAGAATCCTCTTTAAGCACGAAGGGAGCCAGCATTCAAATACACTGGAATACAAACATAGGGTCAACTTCTGGTGGAAAATCTCCTTTAAATGCAAAAATATTTATGTGATTGGCAACTGATCCTCAGAAGTCATACAGTTTAACTTTTTAATTATTTTTTTTAATTTGAGGAAGAGAAAGAAGAGGCATACAGTAGAAAAGTTTGTGCTGATGCTGGACGAGGGGGAGGAAAAGTTAGAGTTCTCCGGACAATTTTATTAAGATCCAATTCTAACAAATAGGATGAAATGGGATGAATGGTAATGACTTTAAAATAGAATTATCCAAACCGGAAAGACTTTAAAAGGTGCAAGAGTGTTTTTTTAAAATAACATCCTAGTTTTTTTATTTTATTTAAGTCATTAAAGTAAGTTAAAATACCTCAAAAAGAGCATCACTTATTTTGTATTATATAGTATAGATTCTCTCAAATATGAATGGTTTTGTTCGAAGCTCATTGTGTTAGCATTGACTTCATTGGCACATGCTATGTTAATCGAGTAAGTTTAAGGTGTATTAACGTGTTCCCTTTTTTCTTTCTGCTCCGTCTGCTTGTCTTCCAGCTTCTGATACCGAGCAGGATGCTGCTGTGAAACTCGACCAGGAGCGGGCTGACATAGTCGCCAAATATGACAAGGTAAACTCTCTCAAGTCAGTCAACAGCAGCCCTGGAACAATGCTTTTAGTTTATGCATTGTGTTTTTTCTTTTTCTTCTTCTTTCCCTCGCTTGTGGTCATTCACAGCCACATTCCAGCCACTCACTGATGCAGACTCGCTCCCAAAACTTCATAAAACTGCGGGCAGTCCCTCCCGTAAATCACCGCCTTATTGCCCGTGAAACACAGCAATAACAGCTGGCAGCGGAGGGAATCTGCCACATTTCACAAGATTTTTTCTTTTTTCCCTCCACAAAACCCACATTTCGGGCTCTCGACTAAAGCTCAGCTACAGCCAATGAACATTAACACATAAATCATGAATTTGAAAGCCTGCTTGATGTTTCACGCAGTGTTAATGTTCACTTATTAACTGTGGTTGAAAGAAGGGAGAAAAAAAAAACATTTAGAAAATCTGTCCTGCAGGACTGCGGCTTTAATCAAAGAGGGAGCGAAGGGATGAAGTTAATTGTTCATTAAACTAAATTATGGGGTAAATGTGATATCATGAGCATGGATTGATTTTACTGGCTGAGATCCAGGGGAGGCTGTTTTGTAATCAAGCGGTTGTGGTGAAAAGTTCCCTCTCGCCAAACGATGTCCCAGCAAAATAAACCTAACTATGGAGCTTGGCGATTTGAAAATAAGTTTAATATTAACACATGGATGTACCTTCAAGGTACAGTCAGCTGATTCTTAACTCAATTATTGTTTGTTTTATTTAAAAGCTGTAAATGTCTTTTAATGATTACAAAAATAAGGTCTTATGAATAACAGTTTTTAACAATTTACAACCAATTACACCAATAGCTTTACATCAATTTGAATTATTTTTCTATTATTACCTCTTATATAATCCAAAAATCAAATGGAAATGTGAAAGATTGCATACTATTTGTTTTTTGTAAGAAACATCCCTTCAATTATTCTTGAATATTAAGATAGATAGAAGATGGGATATTTGCAACCTGTAGTTTTGAAAGAGACACAACACCACTACATTCTATACACTGATGACTCCAGTCTTTGTCCCATTCCTTCGGTAAACGTGTCTTAAGGAGTGTAATAGATGGTATCTGTTTAATTTTTCTTTTCAGAAGTCTCCACCATTGGAGACCTTTTCCCAGCTCCCATCCGATTCTCCATAATTCTCCATCTTTGTACCAAATATTCATCCTTCCATTGTGGCTGCTTTTGCCCCAAATAATCACTACAATTACCTTTTTGAAATAACATGATTATTTTTATTACTTCATTGAAATTCCTCAATTGTCTCGTTTTTCCGCGGAACGTATGAAAGCAACCAGCCAGTTTTAACAGCCAGGCGTCAGGTATCAGTTGGACCAGTCCACCCTGCTCAGGTTCTAAATGAGCCTTTTTAATTTGGTCCAGCAGGCTGCATGATCACGCTCCCCCATTAAGGGTGAAGACACCGCGGAGAGCGGAGATGATTGAGCTGTGTTTGTGTGTTCAGCGAGGCAGAACGAGGCCCGATTGGGAGCTCAATCAAGTGCCATTGTCAATGTCGGGGTAGGGAGGAGTTAAATATATTCCCTTTTCACTTCGACCACACAGACACCAAGTGTTCGTTTCGCACCAGACAGAGTTCATTGCATGTATAAAGAAACAATTTAATGCTTTTCTTTGTAAAATTTGGTTAAATGATTTGTTTTATTAGATGATGACTCGTGCACTTGGCTCAGATTGACATCTGGGTTTTATAAGCATGACGACCGAATGCTAATGTTTTACGCTATTTTATAATCCAGTTTTATATACGACACGCCATAGAAAATTAGAGTCATCTCATCAGTTGTAATTCACTACATTGTATCCGATAAGATCAGATTTATTAAAATCCAATTAAGTTCAAACAATGGCAATAATGAAAAAATAAAAAAGGACTCGCTGTCAAAGGAAACCAGCGTTTTCAATCAAAGTCTCCCTTTGAACTCCTCTCCGATCTGGTCTCCCATCCTGAGAAAGCAAAAGCAAATAGCTTTTTTTTTTCTTTTTCTAAACTGTGTGAGACTAAATAAGTCTTTAAACTGCTCACAACCATCCGAGTCGACCTCTGACATGTGAATAGAGGCAGATAATAGGGTCAGAAACAGAAAAAAATTAAATTATGAGGAACGCGTGCTTTATCGTCATATAAACACCAACAACTCTGATAAAGTAAGAAACCCTGTAAGTACAAAACAGTGGCTCTGGAACGACTGATCTTCTGAATAAACTGTGAAGGTGCGTTATAGATATAGAGCCTTTCTGTTGTGACAAGCAATGATTGAAAAATTATAACTTCCTACTTTATTAGTGCAGTGAATGAGGCATCGTCGTAAAGTTGTGAAGTGACACCAGTTTTCCGTACAATCTGACTCCTAGATATCTGCCCTCAATCACAGAAAAGTTGCCCAGACCCCCATATTCCCTTCTTAAAGCGGCTTGTGACCGTCACTGTGCTCTAATAAAATCCTTATTTTAAAAACCGTGACATCTTCTGTAACCAGAAGACATCAGTATGTGAATTCTGATCATCTTAAATGTTTGACGATCTCGAGTTAGAAGTTAGACTATTTTTCGCACACGGAACTGAAGGTGTTTTTTTTTAAGGTCGGGGTGCAGACGGTGACGCAGGTGGGCGTCTGGCTGTTCATTTCACACCTGTTAATCACATACATCATTTTCTCTGCCTCTTACACACACACACACACACACACACACACACACAGTCTCACGTTCACACACCTCGTCAAGGGCACTGTGGTCCACTTGTAATCTCAGAGCCCATCAAAACACGATTCTCAGCCTGAGTGGAACGTGGGAGGCATGCGGTCGAGAGCTCAGTCGGTGGCCACCGATTCGGCGGATATTAGTCTAAAACCATCGTTAGACGCAAAGGGACATGTTGATTACTCTCACAGTGAGCTGTATGTTTTATCAGATAAATGTTGGAGAGCACTCACATCTGTCCAGACGGTACTCTTAATTGGGTGACTCAACTTAGTACCTTGGAAACATTATTAGAAAAGAGTCGGCGGACGGTGTTAAGTTTTTTTTTTTTTTAAAACAACCAAGATGTTGGCATTATTTTCTCAGAGTGAGTGATTTTTCCATGTTTTATTGCTAACGTGAAAAAAGTAAATGTACCACCATCTCCGTCCATATAGTTCTTTTAATTCACTTTGTATACCTCAACATTTTTGGGGGGGAAAAAATGTTAGCATCGTCAATGGTGGGTAGTGAGTTCCTTTGGAAGAGGGGCTTTTGCACAAAGCAATAATAAAGCGATCATCGTTCTGGTCCCCATGTTTTATGTGGCCTCTCAAGAAAAATGTACCAGATCCAAACAGCGGTGTTTTTACAGCAGCAAGATGTTGTACCAATAAAAATCCCATCACAGGTGGTTTAATAAGGTCGTCCTCAGAAATATGGTGTGGTCACGGTAAAGCTCGTCTTCCCCCCTCTCAGAGGATATCTGAGCTAAGATCCAATTGCATCCTTCAAGTCCTCCCAAATCCCATCGGTTCCTTCTACAGGAGCTCCCAGGAAAGACGCCGTACACGTTTTTAGGTTTTGGTCTAATTCACTCTTGGTTTTTCAGGGAAAAGAGGCCATCGTGGAGCCCTGGGAGGACACCAACTTCCACCTGTACAAAGTCGTCGACCGCTTCGGCTTTGTCCAGTAAGTGCCCGCCTTTGAAAAGCATCACCACTCACAGTACCCCCCCCCCCCCGTGACTACAGGAATGACCTCCCGAATGGCGGTGGCCGAGAGCTGCCGAGAGAAGAGCGTCTGTGGCTTCGGGCTGCCCCCGGAGGCTCTCAAAAACAGCACCGCACTGGCGTTATATATAGACCGGCACAAGCGGGCGGGGAACAACCCGGTTAGCCCATAATCACAGAGCAGGAGCGTTAGCACGGAGCGGCGCGATCCAGACCTCACCGTGGGCGTTGTAAGACGAAGGACAGCGGCCTCCGTTTCAGACGGGGACAGAGGTTTAGAGAGGTGGATGGAGGAAAGGGGATGAAGAATGGAGGACGGGTTTATAGAGGCTGCTGTCAGAAAAGTCAATTGCCACGAAGGGCGGATTAATAAAAAAATATATCAAACTTTTATTAAATCAATCATCCAATTCTTGGTCCGCTGACTTCTATTATAGTTCCAGCTCTTGCTGAGAGGTCAGAATTTTCACTAAAATTAAGTTTGACTCTAGAAGTGAAATTTAAAATGCAACATTTACGAGAAATCGGACAATACGTTATCTGCTCAAAGGGTGATTATTGATGACAAACCGAAATAAATGGGATTAATCACCGTGTTGAGTTGTCTTTTAGATGTCTGTTCAGACTGTTGTCTGATTTTATTTCTGTCATGCAGTTCTATCTAAGGAATAAAGTTAAATTGACTTTAAAATCAAGTCCGGTAGCTCTCTTTTTATGTTTGAACTCTAACTCTCCTGCTGTTGTTTGCAGCAGGAAGCAATTTATTTGAACAAATATTGTCAAATTTAAAAAAACAAAGGAGATTAACGTCGGAAAGATTTTCCCTGCAGCATCTGAGTCTCTGTTCACCGTTTCTTCTGTTAAATGTCAGGTGGGGGTGCACAGCCAAGGCACAAGAGATGAGATCAGAATATTCATCGACTCGCTCACTAGGGAGAACACTCCACTGCACAACTTCTGCAGAGGCTCAGAAGCACAGATAAGCAGAGAGAAGATTACGGAATGTCCTATCAGTTATTTCCTGTTTGTGCGACCCACTGACATGTGCGATGTTGCCTGCCTGATAACGTTGAGGGACCGGGACAAGCTTTGAGTTTCATGCGTCAAAGTTTCTCGAAGGAGGAGTAAAAATGAATTGATACGCTGCCTTTAAAAAGATGCTCGCCATCAGATGTATCTATCGCGCAATACAGGTTTCCACTAAACTTTGATTTGTGATGCAATCACTTATAAACTCCGGGTTTGAGAGATAAGACTGAGTACTCACCTTCCTTTTTTCTGCTCTCCACAGTGAGAATGAACTTCCATCCTACGACTCACTGGAGGAGAAGGTGGGTAAAAGATGGTTCCAGAATATTCTTGACTTTTCTTGACCTGATTTCCTGATATTTCCATGCTGAGAAATGATTGTGTTCCAATTAATTGCATGGCTTTTCCATAATAAAAAGCGTTCCAGTAATGCAACCTTTTGACTTGTAAGTGGAAATATCTCATGATAAACAGATAAAGATATAAAAACAAGCCCCAAATTACTGGACAAAATTAGCTTTAGAGAACTAGTTAGCGGAGAAGCGAATGATCAGAGAAATAACTCTTCTGAATGAGTGTTTTTAATCCATCTGCATGATTTAGAAATTATCTTAAAAGACATGCAGGTAGCAAAAAAAACCTAAATTCTACCTGTATACAAACTGAAGTGTACGGTTCTCTAAAAGTGTTGAACCAGTCTTCATCTCCCTCATTCATTCATGTCATAAACTCGAAATAAACGCAGCAAATGAATGAAACATGTAAACATATAGATTAACATTTAAGATGAGTTAGTTCTAACAAGCTGGTCAGTATTTAGCGTAATATGAAATTTAATGAAAAACGACTTTATTCATCATTAACCCAGAAGAACTCCAAGTAAGATGGTTGTGAATTCATTAAATATGTCCAATTTAATTTGATGTAACCTGCAGATCTTTTATATTTGGTGGTATATCCTATGGTTTGCTATTCCATAGCATTTAACTGTTTGATCTTCACTCTTATGGATTAAAGAAAAATATTTTGTAACTAATGTTTTTCACACACTTTCATTATTAACACACTGCTTGCGAGAAGGACTTCCTGAATCTTTTTTTTTTTGCGTCTAAGATGAAGAGGCTGATTACAAGGTGCTGGATTATTTGTAAGCAGACATTGAACGGCCATAGCTTCCAAAAGAAGCACAGTCTCATATGTTGTTTCTTGTAAATATCAATAATATTTAATTTTTTAATTTACTTTAATAAGTTTGATTAATCACAGATGTCACAAAAATGTATACAAGTTAAACATTTTACTGGCTATTTGGAAGGATAATCCAAAACAAAAATAAATGAGGACCTTTGTCCAACAGAAAAACTGTAAAAAAGATTAGGAGTTGACCTGATATAAATCTTAAAAATGACGTTTTTTTTCAATTTATCACTCAATACGGTGAATTGAAGATGGAGAAGGCCACCACTAGTAAAATGAGTGGAAATACACTGGCATTGCTTTACATTCCTGGAAACAACCAACAGTCAAAGATGGTTCATTGGGAGAAGATCTCAAATAACCACAGACTATGAATAGAGCATCTTGATCTTTCTGTATTACTCTCATTAATTATTAGTCACCCTCCATCCTCATTGTTCATTTCCCTGTGGAACTGCATCACATGACTTTAAATATAGCCGCCACTTGACACTTTTCACGCCAGCCGCTGTCATTTCTTTCTCAGATCTTTTTATTTAGCTTTTCCTAAAAGCAGACACTGTCTGGTCCTTTTTAAAAAGGCTCCCACACTCAAGTTTTTCAACCATTTCCTTTTTCTCCTCAGAAGGGCATTTCATGATTTGTATTTGTTTTCAGTTTGATGCATCAAATGTGCCACTGGAGAAAATGGCTTTTAAGCTTGAGAAGCTCGATTTTGCCTCGGCACTCAACTTAATCGAAGATGTTTTCTTTTCAGGTCTATTTTGAGATTGATTTCCTCTCCCCTAGAAAGTAAAAAATCATTTTCTTTTCCACAACTTAAAAAGGGACAGCTGTCTTCCTTAGCTGTAAAAACAAGCTAGTACAGAAGCAACATCGTGTGTGGCCAGTTTCTCTTTTTTTTTCTTTTTTCTTTGTCAAACATGAAGCAAAAGCACCTGCAAATTATGTGGTGTGTGCTCACCACAAAAAGTGGATGCCTTTAGGGGAAGTCGTTCATGTGCCACTTCTTCTTTCCGCAGCAAAAACACACGGAGGTGGAGAGAACCACTAAATGGCTGAAGATGCTGAAGAGCTGGGACAAATACAAGAACAGTGAGAAGGTGAACCTTTTCTTCTTTTCTCTACATGCTGGCAGGCATGAATTACTCTAATTACACCCCGCCACTGACAGTAGCGTCTGAATTGGTTTCAAGAGCGCATATTAATGTGTCATCTGTGCCGTCCCCGCTATTTATGCAAATATGGCACACATTCAGCCCCAGACAAGGCAAATGTGCTGCTTCTAAGTCAACGAAAACCAAATCTAAAGGTGGCGTTGACATTTGTGGCCACAAAAACGCAAACACAGAGGGGAGAAGTTTTATTTGTTCATAAAACAATTTGGAAACAGTGCGATAGTTGGCACATTTAGGAGCCCTTGAGATAGTTTCAATGAAACGATTGTTTCCAGTACTTGACTTTCTGAGTATTAAGATAAAAACAGAGCTCTCGGTTTTGTTACTGCAAGCATGAGCTTATCTCATTATTGAAAGATATAGCAGATAAATGCGAAAGACATCCTGATAACACAGAGTAGATTTATCAAACTCCCATGGCTCAGATTCCATTTGCTACATTCAAGGATTCAAAAAGTTTATAATGTCACGTGAAGGACCTAGATTCTCAGGATCTGGTGACATTGGAAGTAGTAAACAGATTGGATGTGTAAGTTTAGCAAGTTAGATTAGAGGGTTATTAGACTATACACAAGAGGGAAAAGCACCCATGAAAGGTACAGTGGCATAGTGCTAATGGTTTTAATAAAATACAAAATACCTTTGGGTACTTTGCAGAGATTTATGGATTTTGCAATAGATAAATAAGTCTGGTTTGTGATATTAATCCCCCAATGGGGAGCAAGTTCGGTTTATCTGTGTGTAAAATGTATTCTGCAAAGAAGAAAAAAAAGGCAGAAAGCTGCATTATCTCATTTTTCCTTTTTTTATTCCGGAACAACTTTTTCTGTATTAGATAGTCCCATTTTAAAAACCTTACTACGTGTCCAGTCAGTTGTTTGATACAAGGACTGTGACCTCTTGTGGCCAAAGGCAGGAAATAAAATTTTAATTTATTCATTTGATGAAAATTGGCAGAATATGGAAAATTATCTAAACTTAAGACTTTTTTACTCAACCCTGCCAAGTATGAAAATAGTATCTTTTAACCCTCATATTGTCTTTTAATTTATGATGCACCTTTTGTCCCCCCACCTGTCTGACACTACTATATATGTATAGATAGGATCGTTATACTTTATTTTTCATAAGAAAAGATGTAATTATGCATTGTTATGACTATAGTTTGGAATACAAGCATATTTATTTTTAAAGGGACCAAAAAAAGCATATAGTGGAACCATCCATGTAAATTTCAGGAAGTTATTTGGAAGAGAGAAGTCAAGTTAAGATACTGTATATTAACTTTATTAACCAGCCAAATAGACCAAAATACAACAAATAAGCTATAAACATTTTGAGACATTCTTACATCTAAACTTATTCCTTCCAGTCACAGATGCATTTTTACATCTGAACGATTAAATTTATTCCCAATTTTGCCTTTTTTTTCTGCATTGTGTCAGCCTGATGAAGACGGGAAGCATGCTGGCTTCATTAGCCGCCCCCTCAGAGTCGGGGTGAGGTTTGGCCTCTGCCCGGAGCTCTTTTTAGCATCTTTAATTCGGACGTCTTGTCCCAGCAGGGGCTGCGGCCGTCACATATGAAATGCACCTTGAGCAACAGCCGTTGTTTATTTTCTTCCCTTGTCTTTGGCTTGACCGCAGCAGTCCATCTCTCTGTCACATCTCTGCGTATCTCTCTCCTCTTTTAAGCTTCAAGATCGTTCCCTCGTCTTTGCCAGCCCCCCCCAGCGTGCCGTCAGCTCCTTGTTTTCGGTTTTCTCTACTCGCCAGCTACCGAGAATATATTTAGCCCGCGGTGGGGTAAAATATGACAGGGCAGATGTGGACCAGTCGCAGACATGCAAAACAAAACAATGCCCTCGGCATTACACATTACAGAAATAACACTTTCAGACGATAGGGACACACAGTGGCGAAAGGCTAGTGGCGTGTACAAGCTCAAGTCCAGATCCACCCATAAGGATAACAACAGGAGATGACATGAGCAAATGAAGTGTCGGGAAGGGAAATAACTGAAAGAGGGGCTATTGCTTGGATTCCGCTTTGTGGTACAACGTAATATATTATACCAGAAACATTGGACATTGATGGGGTAAAGAAGCAATATGATGCCTGATGACTCTTAATGGGGAAACATCCTGTTTCGAGCCTCCAAGCCTCTCACTGTGAATTAGAAAGAAATAATCCGTTCATTTACAGCTGGTAAAACATAGCTGCCCCTACTGTTTTTAAAGATTGGAACCACTTATATATTCCCTTCGATTTTGTTAAACCATATAGGAAAAAAAAACTGCTGGTTACTATGAACACTATCCATACTATCTTATGGGGGGGTATTCCATGAATACTTATCCTACACAGCTCGGTTTAGGTGGTTTTCTATTAAATATTATGTACATTAAGTATATCTTAGTACTCCACTTCGTCCAATCAAATTATGAATTGGTGTTGGAAAACGCCACCACCTGTAAAATGAGTGGCCTTGAAAATTCACCGGCATTACTCTGAATCAGTCACTTCCAAATACACACAATATGGTGCCTTTATCAAGTCGTACTGGTCAGTTGCATGACACACATCATGTTGACTCTATCTAGTTGCATTAAATCCCCAAGAAGAGGCCTGGTAAATTAGGATTTTTTGCATCTTAGTATCTGTTGGACATACATCGCCCATTCAGGGCCTAATTCCTACATCTTGTCAACATCCTCCCTAAGCCGTTGGTCATTTCCAGCTTCTCGTATTCTTACATCTTGATGCCATCACTTGGAATTGTTACATCTATCTCCACTGCCTTCTTCTGTAGCTTTTGCCAGAGAGCAGAGCCCGTAAAGTTGCTGCTAATGTAGGAAAACTGCGGCAATTCTTTGAGAACAAAGCGGAAACCTGGAGCTAAATCTAACAGAATATGTATGCAATGACCTAAAGCAATACGTTTTTTTAAACTTCTGTCAGTTTTTTATAATTTTTTGCCCAAACGAATAAGGGACACCTGCAGGAGAAAGCCATCCCCAGGATAGAGCATCATTCACATCCAGGCAGGCTACTGATGTGAAAGTCGCTAAGGAGCATAAACGCTTATATTAGTTTTTACAAAACCTTCCAAAAACCTTTCTTTTTTTGTCATATCTTATCGGAAATCAATCAGAATCATAACAAAAGACACTTTCAATTTTGTTTTTTTTAGAGCAAAGAACCCCAAATAGTTTCCCTCTGTTGACCCTCGGGATCATAAGGGAATAGTTGTGATCCGGTTTGGGTCCATAGCCTTTCAGGTGAAAAACTGAGCAAACAAGGAGCTGCATCTGTGTACACAACCGGAGCAAATATGGGCTCCAACCGGACAAATTCAGCGTAATTTGTTGACACATAATCACACAAAAAAAATCCCCTCCACACACTCTCAGGATAATTAGTCCAACAGATGGTCTCATTGACTGTCTCATCAGAAGCTAATTATAAGGCCGGTAGGCAAACTGGTAGGTCCCACATGCGGCGGTCAGGCTTTGAACAGTCGACCCACACAGCCAAATGTCATCAATTCTGAAATGACACGCACACAGACCGCTCTGGGTTTTTTTACCGTCTGGAAAAAAAAGAAACAAAAAAAGATGACAGCTTGACTCATACATCAGGGCACCACACACCCTGACGCGCAGGCGAGGTTACAGACCAGATCTGATTTATGAACCCGCGTTCATTCTCCGGGCACAGATCCGTCCTCGGACTCTGCTCGATCCGCCGTTTTCCAACGCGATTCAGCGAAACCGGTCGGGGTCACAAATCGAATATGATGGATCGGTACCGCAGCACCCCGCAGAGCTCTAAAGACCATCTTTCGCCTCGACTGATCTGTTTCATTGTGTCCAACGCGTCTTTATGAAGTGGGACTTCTGATTCTAGACTAAAATCAGTCACCTTTCTAGAAAATCGTTGCAGATCTGCCTTTAACATTTATTCTACGTTACGTCTTAGAAGTTTTGCTGTAGTTTAATATCGCATCATGCATCCGTTTAACACAACTTGCAATCCATGGTCCTGTGGAAAAATGTTGGTTTTGTCAATAGCATGCCGAGCCACTCTGGAATCCATCAGTTGGAGAAATCCAAATTGTTTGTTGGCCAAGCCAACGCTCCTCCAACGAGAAACGTTTCACCAATCAGGCCCTCAAAAAAGAACAGAAACCACCACAGCCGGATCCCGTTCGTCTAATATCACCCTCCTAGTCCCCTCGGTTGGCTGGCTAGTGACACAGCCAAATCTTTTAAAAGATGGGGAGGCTTGCTGGAGGTGGTGACAGCGGCGTTGCACTTTGAGAAAGCCTTCCTGGTCTCTGCGGCATCCGACGGGGGCGTGACACGTCAATCCCAGGCTGTAAATTATCGTAACACTTCGACGGGGTCTCTGTGACGTGTCCAAGGGCTGTTTTTCTCCGGCAGACAATCCTAAGGGTCCCTCGGGTGGGTCTTTTCGTCCCTAACATCACAGTCTTAGCGACACATCCCTGCGCCTCCCACATCCGCTGTATAACTCTCTCGTTCGGCCGGGGTTTAAGACTGGAGACAGGGAAGTCACCACGACCATCAGCCTTGGCGGTTTGGGGGTTTGAGGGTTTAAAGACTTCATCAATTTTCCACCCCCCTACGTCAACACTGAATCACTTCAGACCGCTCTGCATGCGGAGCAGCCGCTCCTTTTTCACTTACTTGCACTTAGCGCTGGAGTCCATCCAGCCAGATGGTCATCGCTCACCTTCCGAGGCCTCTTTTCCTCAGATCCGACAGAGAGCAGAGCCCATTCAGGCAGACACTGTTTGTACTTTCAACAACTTTGACACGTCAAGCGGAGGTTTCTTTTCTTTTTCTTTTTTTCCCCTTAAACTATACTATTTTTTTGTTTGAAGATCATAGGGTTCATAATAAAGTAAGGTGGGGAGTAGGAGTAGTGTGAGCAAATTCTTCTTGTTATTGTAGAACAGGGAAAACAGACCCCACATCAGAAAGGGTGAAATGTTTGAGGGGTTTTTTTGTTGTTTTTTTACAAATCATCCACAGATGCTGTATTTAACTCTTTAACATCTACACTTAAAATATTTCTTTGCCTTTTTTTCCATTTTGTTGTTCCATGTTTTGTTGTTTTTCTTTTCTTTTTCATTTCTTTGGAGCAATAACAACCAGAATCAATGCTTTTTTCTCATAGATTGTTGGGGTAAAACTTTATAATAAAAATGTTAAAAAAGAAATGTCCTAACTTATGCTGAATTTTGGCATTGCATACTTAATTCTAGGGCTTGGCAATTTAAGCTATGTATGAATAATAGATCGACCTCCTTTCCTCAGCTGGGTTCTAAAGGAGACCTCTTTAGTTAAGAGGGAGATTGCCAGTCGCCCTGTTTATTTTCAGGAGGAGGCAGAGAACACATTTTTATGCTCTTAGATTCTTTGCCAGGCAACTTAAAAAAAAAAAAATGAAATTCTCTCCATGTTAAAGGAGTAAGATGTGATTGGATAACAATCAATTAGAATTTGATAACCTTACATTGGATTGGGTTGTCTTTTTTCTTTTGCGCAATACAGATATCACTGAATTGAACAGATGGATTAAACAGATGTATGGACAGAGAAAGGCATATAAATATGAGATATTTTCATATTGAATATCAAATATTAATAGCAAAGCTTTGGTAATCTGCTGGAACTGAGATAGTTTGTTAGACCAGGCTAGAGAGACATTAAAAAAAAAAGTTTTGGTGCTCACACAATTCACCAGAGTATAATTTCAACCATTGCTTTTGTAAAAGGGATGAACATATAACTCGATTAATGTGCAAAACCTCAGGCTGGGTATAAAGATGGAGTGTTCCTTAGCTGACTGATGCTACACCTCTTTGAAGGGTTTTTCTAACAATGACCCCCCGCTGCTTGTTTCCTTCCAGCTGGTCCGGAGGATCTATAAGGGCATTCCGCTGCAGCTCCGAGGGGAAGTCTGGTGCCTGCTGCTCGATATTCCCAAAATAAAGGAGGAGAAGAAAGACTTCTATGAGGTACAGAGCCCAAGACCTCCTCACAACTCCTCTTTTCGCTTTTTACGAAACGTCTGCGTCCCAGCGGCATCCATCACAGCGCAGGCCTCATAAAGATTCAAAGCCAGCACTTTGGTTTTTATTTGACATCACAGGGCGTCTGGGTTTTTTTTCCCGGGCAAGATGTGAGCGCGGAGGGCCCTAATTGTGTTCTCGCAGAGCCGCACAGTTTGTCTCTGCTCGCAGAAGAATATCAAATAAATAAATCGGCTCAAAGACAAACTTTGGGTCTCATTAGAAAGTTTAGCTGGGTGAGATCAATACATTGCTGCCTTCAGCTGTTCTGTGTGTGTGTGTGTGTGTGTGTGTGTGTGTGTGT